TCATAAATCTAAAGTCATTAAAGCAATTAAAGGCAAATGGATTGTCTCGTTTTATAATTAATTTTTAGAGACTATCAGCTAATCATTTATGTATGAAGGGTATTCACCCCATTTCTTTTAAGGTGGCAAGGAGACTGGTAGTTGAATTTTTCCCACAATGATATGAGTAGACAATACATCTCCATCGAATTTCACATAGCCTTGCTTTTTAAAGAGTTAGCCTCATACAAAGTGAACTACAATTTCGACCCCGCCTAGGTCTAATTAACACCCCTAGCGGTACTTGAACCATAATAATATACTGTATAATCTCGACACTTTAGCCACTACGCTACGGTGGGGTGGTTGATGAGACTCATGCAGGTCGAAACTGCAGTCCGACCTGGATGAAAATACCTTTTAAGAAAGCAAGGCCATGTGAAATTCAATGGAAAAGTAAAATCCACCCATATGATTGTGGGAAAAATTCAACTACCAGTACCCCTATTAGCTTAAACGAAATAGGGCGAATACCCTTTATATATAAACAGATTGTTTAGTTGGTGTTTAACTGGCAAATCAACAATCCCTTTTTATAAGGAAGTTAAGCCTTTATTATTGGTTCTCACGATGATACTTCCAATACTAACATCTGATAATATCCGTAATGCCCGTCATATATAATTCACCTCAAAGCATTCGACTACTGTTAATAATGTTAACATTTGCTGTGAAATCGTTTGATATTACTGCAGCTTTCAAGTTGATTCAGTACGCGAGACATCTTCCTTTAACAAGCGCATAATAATATAATTTAACAAAGGCAGAGCAACGCGAATCGTTTATTGTTTTGTGACGAGACTTGTCCACGAATCTTTTCAGCGGGCACACAGCGAAGCTATACTACTTTATGCATAATTCATTAGTCAAAGGCCCAGAATAGAATCCGTATCTGATGCGCAAGGATCTATTCACTTACATAGAAGTTATAAGAAATATACAAATATATAAGGATTTCATGCATTAGCTGCAAAAACACTTTCATTTAGAAAGCTCCATCGAGCCGGGAGTGTCTCCTTTGAGCTTAATTACAGTTTTGGGGGAAGATGAAGTAAAACATGAATTTTGTAGTTACGGCTTTCTTAGATATAGCATAGGAGAACGTCTCATATCTACAAATTGCAGTCATTCTCAGAGTTGACTCAAATATCAGATATAAATTACGATAATGTAGATCTTAACGAGCAAATAGCTTACTGGGCTAAAGTAATCTTTACGTTCGAAACGAATGTGATGGTCGGGTTAAGCTGAGAGTGAAAACTGGATTTGGCGTGAATTTGAGAGAGCTCATAGATCCTATTCAAATAGCCTTTTTCAGCGCACTTTCAGGATCTTGTAAAGACTTTCTCCAATAAGCCGTTTATTGGGTTTTGGCCCAGTCGTGCATGCTCTAATTCAGTGATTCCCAAACTGTACAGGGGCGCCGTGAAATATTGTAAAAGCTTCAATTTAAGAAAATGTACAGTGATTTGCACAGGCTCATCCATCACATTAATTATTAAATATTAAGTTAATGTCAATAAAGCAAAAAAAATAATGAAGATACACGAGTTTTATTTATTTTTGTCTGTTACTTACGAATAGTCATACTTAGGGTAGGGTGTCATGGAAAAATTTTAATTGAAAAAAGGCGCCACGACTCGGAAAAGTTTGGGAACCACTGCTCTAATTCATGTGTTCATTAGCTTGAGAGGTTATTTTCGCCTAATTGTATTGACCATTGGAGCAGATAAGAAACACTGAAATGGTAAGGTTTTGTCCTGTGCGATGACACAGACGCCTCGGCCTCATATACATTTTTGACGTTAATATATTTCAAGGCTGAAAATTAGTGTTCATGTCCAGCAAACGGTAGAATCGTCTGCAATTTCAGTGCAATGTGCTTACGACGCCTCGCTGAAGAATCCCAACTTGTATATGAAAATATGCATTCCAAGCTTAATATGTAACAGGGCCAAATAAATCATCGATACCGTTGCCGGAGGACTACTTCCTGTCCCCTCATTTCACGTGAGAATAAGGATTCATAAATTCGCCTCTTCCTATCTTCACACATTATTTCCTGTTAGAGCTAGCATAGTCGTGAGTGTATTTTCAAGCTCGATACATTTTGAGACATAATGGAGATTAATAGTGTGCCTCCGCCAGATGCACTTGATGAGTGAAACCGGTCTAACACACACAGAACGAGTCGTTTTTCATGCTTGTGATGCTTGTTTACCCGCAAAGCCAGCTTAAATTTTGTTATTCTGTCCTCCATCCTAGATTAAATTCATATATTTTATACCACATGCTGGAAAAAGCTCTATTGGCTCAGGTGTTTGGAGTCCAGACATCTTAAGACTAGTTGATGTACTAATGTCAGAAGCTGTTGCTTTCATTCCTTCTCAGATGGACAACTAGTTTGAAAAAAATCACGACCATCTTAGTTATCCGACAGAATAGAAAAGAGTAAGCGTTAGAGACCGTGAGATTCGGAACTCACAAACGGCCAGTCGTCTGAGCTGAGCATAGGCAGAAGAGGCAAGGCACTTAGTTTCGACATCTCAGAGATGTCTCTTCTGTCAAGCAGGAGTATGCAGGCAACTATAGCACAAGGGAGAGATTAACATGGAAATTTGAAGCAAAATTTAGGCTTCTATTCAAGACACCGTTCATCTTGATAAATTAGTTCTTTCCCACAGGCAGCAAGAGATCATAATTTTGGCCCGCAAACACAATATTATTACATCCGTAGCGAAAATGCAAGCCTTTCTAAAAGTCTCAAAGATTTGGAGAATAAATTTCCATTGAAAGCGGCGGAGATTACCATGGGCAACACCGAAATTTTAAATAGCTGCAGGGATGATTTCGACTGGGGAAATCTGGTCACTTACAGTTGGTCGAGTAACTGATCGACTACTTTATGTAGTCATCAATTGATGTGCTCATAATGGATAAAATGCAAAGGTAAAATGAGTAGAGCCTTAGCACATGGGGACATCAGTTTAACTTTGAGAAATCCTATCCCTTTTTGCATCCAGCAGCATTCTGGAACGTCTTGGCAATATATTATTACCTCCGGTGAAAGTATAGTTTGAGGAAACTTAAATGTATACCAGGTCCACTCAATGTCAAATCTATGCTTCTCTTATCGATAACAACATTGAGTCGTATTGGTGTCAGCAGGACAGCTTCTGCAAGCTGGAAACATATCTTTACCAACCTAATTAAAGGATCGGGTATAAATGTTGGGAATTCTCCGGCTTGATATCTGCATTTACATTCAGCCAGTTAACTGGTTAGCCACGGTTTCCTATTGTAGAGTTGTACCAGTTTAGAGTATCGGACCAATAGCGTATCTGTCCGCGATGTGTTGAAGAGAACTACTTCGCCATAGATCCTGAAAAATGGACCTCCTCTACGGTTTAAATGGCGCTGTTGGGGCTAAGGCTGAGGCAAGGTTGAAACCGTAGTCCAGACTGGAGGTGTAAGGAGTGCAACAAACACGAAAATCAGGATGTTGCTACGGTCCGTTACAGCCGCAGTAGTTGTCAGTGCAAGATAAAAATCGGTAGAATCTGGTACACCTGCAGTGTGCAAAAAATTCGGAAGTGTTTGAGCCAAAAATGACCAATCGACAAGAGGCACAATTGCCAATATTGCATTATTTCAACAGCTATTCCTTCCTTGATGAATTGAAGAACTTATTGCACCATATCTCCCGAAAGGCCCCACTCCTGAAGTTTAACCTGAATTCGTGACCTCACCCCGGTCTAATCTGCATCCGCTGCAGTATTCAAACCGATGATGTTCGAATGCAATAAATCAGGCTCCTGGTAACCGCGACTTCAGTAACTTATTGGGCTTAATGGCAAGCACATGTTTTTGGTTGTCCATTGTTGGCGTTAACACTTTAGGCTGAACTTTATGGTCGTTCTGGCAGCGATTCTGCCCACCAAGTGCTGAAGAGAAAACTGGTTGTATCAGTTAATTTTCAACTTCTTCATACTCCCTATCGATGGTTCGAATGTGGCTGAGGAGAGGTGGATAGAGCTTGCGGTCCAGCCTGGATGAGAACGACATTTTGAGGCGTGGGAGAAAGAGAAATTCACTGCTGAACTCAAGTCGACCCTTCACTTCGCCATTGGCAGAGTCAACATCAGTGCAATACAATGCAACCAGTCGCAATTTGTACAGTCCTGATGGCTGCATAATGGAATTGCCTTTGAGTTTATGCGGAAAAAAGTTAGGCCTTGAAGAGGCCCAAAGTAATTTGGCATGACTCGACTTTTCATTTCGAAGAAGAAACTGATTGGAAGGGTCTCGTGGTTGGTCTCACGGGAAGGCGAAAGAGGTTTACCTCGGAGTGGAGACGGTTGGATTGTACGAAGAATGCCTGTCACCGAGCCAATCTAAACGAGTCAACCTGGCAGAACGTTGAGCCTAAAACTGCTTTGCACAGGCCAACCGTCTTCAACCCAAGAAAGCCTTCTTCAGTTTCCCGCGCGGCCAACTCTGGGGACCTCTTCCAGCCGACGTTTCCAGCAAAATGAACAGCCGAGTCACATTAAATCTGTTTCCAACCCCATTTGCTTGACAAATCAAAGAAAAGAGATAAGCCCTTTTTCAAGTTAGCCAAATGCTTGGCCCTGAAATTGGCTGCAAAAATGAAGATGTGCGCTCAGCCAAGCGTTGCTAGCACTCAACTTGGCATAATTAAATGTATCAATTGGCAGACAGGCGCCTCAGACCCTCTGGCGAGGGTCGCATGCAGGTGGGCTGGAGGAGGGTGTTAAAATGAGAGCAAAGGCATCTTCACCTACCAACACGGTTCCGGGCACTTTTCGGTTTTTTCTCGGCTTTTTCTTCGGCGCCTTGTCAACCACGCAGGCCTGCTGCTGACTTGCCTTTGTCGCCTTGATCTTGCCGCCAAGGGAGCTGAAGCAGCCGACTGCTGATGATCTCGTCTCCTCTCTGCCCGGGCTCGTCGTCTCACGGCCCGCCCGATCGGCTCGAGGGCGCCGGCGAGCGAAGGACCTGCGAATTCGGCTCACCAGACGCTCGAACCCCGAGGCGCCGGCGGCCTCGGGCCTCTTGCTCGTCGGCTGAGGCGAAATCGCGTCAGCGCCGGCGCAATCGACCGCGTCAGCTCTTGCCGAGGCGGCCGAGTCCGAGGCTTGGCCGGATCCACTCATTTGACTCGGCTCACTTTGGCGAGCAGAAGTTTGAACCAGTCCTATCGATCCGAACAGATTGGGATTGCACGGCACCGTCTGGTGGCACTGATGTCAGTGGTCCGGATGAGAGTGCTCCTCTTGAGTACACACTTCGATTGTCTGTCTCACCGTCTATTTGCTTAGCCGTCGGCTGACACACCTCGCCACGCCAACACCTGCTCGTCTATAGTCAGACCTGTGTGTGTATTTGTGTGTGTGTGTATGTGTGTTGGTGTGTGGTTATAGGTGTGGATGGGTGTGAGCGCGCATTCGTGACACAAATGTGAAAGTGCGTCCGGTCGCCGCGTGGATAGAGGGTCAAAACAAACGCTTGGACTAGCCGGCTCGTCCGTCTCGTCCGTCTCGTCCTCATTAGGTCACCTCACCACGGGGCCTGTTGGCCCGGGAAATGCCTGGGTCGGGCAATCGCGCCGACGCTGATTGGTGCAACAGGCCGAAACTGACTGCTCTATTCCGCTGTGGTGACGCATGCCCAGGGCTCCGGACCTAGGGAAGTGCTCGAATGCTAATAGGCTGAAAAGTTCACCTGGCCCAAGATAAGCCAGAACTCACGTGTCCTCTCCGGCTGACGCACTAGTCTTGCCACAACCCATATCCGCACACTTTCACCTACACACACATACACACACATACACACATACACACACACACACACACACA